TGTTGCAGAGAGGATGAACAGAACACTAAATGAGAGAGCCAGGAGCATGAGATTGCATGCAGGACTTCCCAAAATGTTCTGGGCCGATGCGGTGAACACAGCAGCATACTTGATCAAAAGAGGACCCTCATCTCCCATAGGCTTCAAAATTCCAGAAGAGGAATGGAAAAGTCGAGAGGTATCTCTTAATCACTTGAAAGTTGTTGGTTGTATTTCTTATGTCAAAGTTAGAGATGCAGATGTTGACAAGCTCGAGGCAAAGGCAAAGAAATGTATCTTTATTGGGTACAGGCTGGATGACATGGGTTACAGGTTCTGGGACAACCACAGCAAGAAGGTTATCAGGAGTAGAGATGTCACTTTCAACGAGAATGTATTATATAAAGATGGTCTTGTAGCAGATACGAGCAAAGGCAAACAACCAGAAATCAAACAACAAGTGGTGTTTGATGGGATGACTGAAGATGACCTAGCACAACCTGTTGGTTGTGATGAGACGGCTGGAGGCTCAGGGAGCAGTGGAAGCTCAGGAGATACAGGAATTTCTGAAGATAGTGGGAGTGATGAAGATAGTGGGAGTTCAGAAGCAGCTACTCCTCACATTAGACAGTCCACCAGAAACAGAAGACCTCCTAACAGATATTCTCCTTCAGCAAATTACCTATTGCTGACTGAGAATGGAGATCCAGAATCTTACTCAGAGGCGCTGACCATGAAAGATTCCATACATTGGAAGAAGACCATGGAGGATGAGTTAGACTCACTTGACAAGAACCAAACTTGGTCCTTAGTCAAGCTACCACCGGGAAAGAAAGCTTTGGAGAACAAGTGGGTGTTCAGAATCAAAGATGAAGCAGATGACAGCAAAAGATACAAGGCAAGGTTAGTTGTCAAAGGGTTTCAACAGAATAAAGGGGTTGATTACAATGAAATCTTCTCCCCGGTTGTGAATGTGACAACTATTAGGTTGATTCTTGGTATCGTGGCCGCTGAAGACTTGCATTTGGAGCAGCTGGATGTGAAGACTGCTTTTCTCCATGGAAACCTTGAAGAAGACATCTACATGACTCAACCAGTAGGTTTCTCAGCGAGTGGGAAGGAGAAGTTGGTGTGCAAACTCAAGAAAAGTCTATACGGACTGAAGCAAGCTCCTAGGCAGTGGTACTTGAAGTTTGACAGTTTTATGCAGCGGAATGGGTACACTAGATGCAAGATGGACCATTGCTGTTACTTGAAGAAATTCAAGTCATCATACATTATTCTTCTTTTTTATGTTGATGACATGTTGGTGGCTGGATCAAACATGCAGGAGATCAACAAGCTCAAGAAGAAGTTGTCTGAAGAATTTGAGATGAAGGATTTAGGGGAGGCGAGACAGATTCTTGGGATGAGCATAGTCAGAGACAAGGTGGAAGGTACTTTAAAGCTTTCACAGCAGAAGTACATTCAGAAAGTCCTTGAGAAGTTCAGAATGACGGATGCCAAACCAAGGAGTTCACCGTTAGGGAGTCAGTTGAAACTCTCCAAGCAGCAGTCTCCAAAGACCAATGAAGAGAAAAATGAAATGGCTAAAGTCCCTTATGCATCAGCCGTTGGCAGTTTGATGTACGCAATGGTATCAACAAGGCTAGACATTGCTCATGCAGTGGGAGTTGTTAGCAGGTTCATGTCAAATCCAGGAAAGGAACATTGGGAAGGAGTCAAGTGGCTGTTAAGCTACTTGAAAGGCACCTCTGAAACTGCCCTTTGTTTCAAGAAAAATGGTGTAATTCTAGAAGGATTTGCCGATGCTGATTTGGGGGGCTGTTATGATTCCGGGAAGAGCACTACGGGCTATGTGTTCACAATTGGAGGTACAACAATCAGTTGGATGTCCAGACTACAAAAGAGTGTGGCTCTTTCAACCACAGAAGCAGAGTATATGGCCCTTGTTGAAGCGGCCAAAGAGATGATTTGGTTGAAGAACTTTCTTTCGGAGTTGGGCATGAAGTAGGGGGATTGCGGTCTATACTGTGACAACCAGAGTGTTATTCATCTCGCGAAGAATCCAGTGTTTCACAGCAGAACGAAACACATCAAGATGCGATACCATTTCATCCGAGAGTTGATTGAAAACGGTATCATAAACTTGAAGAAGATCCTTGGTACGAAGAATCCAGCAGACATGCTTACCAAGGTGGTGACAACGGAGAAGTTGAAGCTATGCATGGCTTCAATTGGCCTTCCAGATACTTGATGAGAAGGTGTGAACGAGAGAGAGATCAGGGTTTTGCAGAGGATACATGCTCTTGGATGGCAGATGACTGTTGAACAAGACTCCAAGTGGGAGATTGTTGAAGATGGAGCCTTGTTTTGAATGCAGGAGTATATACCCGACTGGGGATGTTGGATTACCTGACCGGGTATAAGGTTGGTTTTGTTCGAGTAACTCACTGATTTCTATACTCGATCGAGTACAGGGCTTTACTCGATCGAGTATGCGTGATGGTTTACCTGGGCAACACTCTGGATTTTACAACCGATCGAGTGCAGGGGTTTACTCGATCGGATATGATGAATTTCCTGACTCGGGCAGCATTCTGGAGTACATACCCGATCGGGTACAAGGCTACACCCGATCGGGCATACGAGACTTTTTTTAATTACGAGCTTAATTTTGGGCCTGCGGCTCTAATCATTGTTTAGGTTTTCTTAAACCTATTTAAACACTTCTGGTGTATCTGTAAACCCTGACGCCGATAATAATACATCCTCTCTCCCTCGTTCGCCGTGGACTAGCACAATCACTCCGATTGTGTGAGCCACGTAAATTCTTGTGTTCTTGCTCTTAATTTATCGTTTATCTTTGCCTAATCGTAACAATGATTTTCACTCCAAGGAGTTTTGCAATTCTGCTCCAACTCACAACCCCGAATATTTCAATCTGGACTGATTAAGGCTGGAATTTAAATATTAATTATTGATATTATATGACCCAAGACCCTTGTCCACAAAATCACACTATGCTACAACAAACCCAACGCTACAAACAAGCAACTGCCTACACCTCTGGTGGGCTGCCAAGGGCCATGACCCACAACGACTCACAAAATGGATTATCGGCAGAACAATCCAGAACATTCTCGTCTTCGGGTGAGCCCTCGACCTCGTCTCGAAGGACCCTCAGTCTGCCACCGTCCAGCGTCCAACTACCGTCTCGTGCTCGGATTTGCCATACATCAGAGCTCTCTGTCATAGACTATGTTACATGTGTATGTGCATTTAATGCACCTAGCATTTAGGGCTAGTATAAATAACCGCCCATTTCACAGATGTAACGATTCAGAAATCATTAATATGACCCGCATTTCTCTCTCTAACTTACTAGCTTTGTCTTCTTAGCTCTCTGCTTATCACTAACGCTATCCCAATTTAGCTAGCTATCAACTACACATAAATGTATTTATATTAATATTACATAAATACCTACATATATAAATACATTAAAATCTAAAAAGATTTTTAGGCATTCGTTCAATTTGCACATTATTTACATATTTAGATTAATGAGATTTTATAACTTAAAACATTAAAACTTAAGTGGATGTTTTTTTGGAGGACTAAGTGGATGCTTTTTATTCACGAACTTTATCTTATTTTGATGATAATACATACTCCCTCGGTCTCGGAAAATTGTTCCCGATTTCCTTTTTGGGCCGTCCCAAAAAATTGTTCCACTTTCCCCTTTTGGGAAGTTTTTTGTGGGTACAATTAATTTACCTTTTTCTTACTCAACCACGACCATACATTTCCACTTTATTCCCACTTTCTTAAACTCCGTTCCATGTCAATGCGGGAACAATTTTCCGGGACGGAGGGAGTACATCATTAATTGAGCTATTTTTTTTATTAAACTTGTAAAGCTAATAAATTAAATCATTCACTGATCTAATCTTTCAAATAAGAAATATAAGAAATGAGTTAATATAATCATATTAGAGGATCAGGGCAAAAAAATGATCACATTAGGGGATCTTCTATTTCTAATATAAAATATTAAATTAGAATTGAAACATCTAAACATCATACACAAATAAAGTAACATAAAAATATTATCACGGATCTCAAGCTAACAAAATAATGTTTAAATAATCAAAACTATTTTTAAAAAAATGAAACATCTAAACATAAATGCAAGTAAAATCCGACTTTGGTCCGGTCCGGTCTTGGATCAAAATTATCTTGATCCAGACTATGGTCCAATTGTTTTAGTGATTCCAGTTCATGTTCATTTACCCAACAAAGGCTCCCACCTACGGTGAGGTAAGAGGGGGTCAGATGTATGCAGTCTTACCCCTGTACTAAAGTACATAGAGACTGTTTCCGGTTGACCCATAGTGAAAATCGCGTCCAAATTGCATGGACTGACTGTTGCTTCATAACAAAGAAGCGCAGACAGTTCAGTGAGCCATTTTGCTTTATTCCATCATATTTTCAAACAAAAAAATAATGAATCTTTGGTTCCATTGCAAATGATGGAAAGTTTTAGTGATTCCAGATTCAGTCCAAATTGATTCTATCTAATTTTTGCACTAATACTCACATCTGGTTGTCTATGTAAACAACCAATTTATTTAAAAAAATGTTTTTTTTGAAAAATATTACCAAAATAAAACTTATTTACATAAATATGATTAAAAGTTACTATAATGTAGTGTCATTACAACTTCGATTTAAAAATTGAATATATGTTACTATTTCGTTACTACTTTAATCACTAGTTACATTGTAAACCATTTTTATTTTAGTTATAAGTATATAGTTCGTAATTGTTTCTAAAGAAAATAGTCCCAGCTCCCTAAAACTTGAAAAAAAAATGTGTATGAAATTGTTTGTCTCACTTTAAAAATGACTTGTACACAAAAGAACAACCCATGTCACTTCATCCGACCATTTCTATTTACACCGCTCAACTGACAACCGTTCGGAAAGCAGCTTTTTTCCAATTTGAGTTTATCTCTATCGATTGCAACAATAATGACGAATTTGATATCTAACTACCCATCTTTCCCACATTACAAATTTCACTTTATGCCAAACCACATCTTTCTGCTTCCTTGGACCCATCGCCTTATTCTGCCGGGCTACTCTTTGTGTCACCATCCCTGTTCTATACTCATCTGTAAGTTGCTGAATTGATTTTTTATGTTTTTTTCCTTCTTAGCTTTACTGGGAACTGTACTAGATTAATGGGCTGCTAATATGCTTAATTGTCCAAGATTGAAAAAATATAAGAAAATTGAGCTTGGATAGGTGCTAAGAAGGAGAGATGTAATGTAATAGAATCAGAGTACAATGCCCTGTCCTGGAAAGTTGTAACTTGTAAGACAAATCTGCCTCCAAATGTTTAATGGGGTAGAGAATAATAATCACACCAAGTCAACTGAAAAGGAGGCATGCTACAACTTTTTCAAACGCAAGACTCTTTCGTATATTCGTATACTGGTAGTTAGATTGATGGACTTTTCAATATAATACTTCTAGATATTTTACTTTACTTTGAAAGAGTTGTAGGAATCTAATAAAAAGTGGACTGTCTGGGTTTTCTGGTTTAAAGTTTTTTTAGATTTAATAATTTAGTTAACTTTGTTTTGAAAATGGAGTAAGTAATGAATAACTAATAAGATTATTTAAATTAAAGGGTTCCCAAAATAATAAAGAAGTGTTTTTTTACTATTATGAATTATTGTTCTTAGAATTTACAACTTAAAATTGAGAGTGTAAAGTTTAGGGAAATATTTCAAATAATTACGGAGTATATAAGAAGAACAGTAGTAATTGTTTAAATTAAAAACAAATTAGTACATTGGATATATTTATCTATGTTTTTTGGTACCACTACTCTAATAATAATAATAATAATATTATTATTATTATTATTATTATTACTACTACTAGTACTACTAGTATTACAAGTAGCAATATTTTTATTTATTTTTATTATATAGTATATACGGAGTATAAAACAGGTAGTTCTGGTTCCAAAATTTGGAAAACCAAACCGCTATAGTAAACTGCTGGTTCTTAACCAGTTTTTTTTTTGTTTTTCCGTTGATTAGCAGCGACAGAGGTAGGTATAGGGGTAGAGGGCCTTGGCCCTCCAAACTTTTCTTTTTAGTAGTACTAGCATTAGATATGAAATAATCAGGAAAAAATGGGCCAGAACTACCTGATAGAAGCCTCTATTTGAGATGCTTTTGAGTAAACAATTTTGATGAAATTTTGTAACCATGTTTTTCATGAAGTGTAGATATGTACACCAAATTTCAGCTTGAAATTCAATCAGTAAGTCAACTAAATAAATTATGAAAAAACACGTTTTTATATATATTTTGGCGCAGTGTTTTTCAATAATTTGTTTAATTGATTTCCCTATTGAATTTTAAACTAAAATTAGGTGTAAATCATCTACACATCATGAAAACCATTATCAAAAAATTTCAGCAAAAAAATTAACCCGGAAGCACCTCATGAAATAATTTCATATATATGATTAAAAATATCAAAAAATAAGTTTTATTTCTCAAATAGATCTTACTTAGTCCTATTAAAAATAATTTGATTAAATTTTGTCAAAATAGCAGTGAATAAGTCATATTCTGAGAATAAAACAACGATAATACTTTTATGTGCTTTATTTTGTTTTAATCCTATTTAGTGAACTTTCTCTTTATTATTTGTGTTCCTTCTTGGCCCCCCTACGACTAAGTCCTGGCTCCACCCTTGTTGATAAGTAATGTTTTTCCCTTCCTATTTCCTTCATACTTTTCTTAATACACAGTATATGAGAGGTTGACTATCTAAATCCCAAATATTTCTTAGTTTCATGGTGCCAATGATTCAGTAAGACTTTGAGTTTGAAGATTTGGAAGAGTTGGACATCTCTGAAATGGCCAGTTTAAGAAACTCTTTGTTTGGAGCAAGCTTCTTTTTTGTGTGGTTCCATTGGGCTTTGTTGCTTACTAGAGGAAACAGCCAACTTACCAATCCTGATGAAGGTATGACTATTGTTGGGTTTAAGTTCTTTAGCTTACTATGCTTATATAATTATATGATTGTTCTTTATGTACACGCCGAGGCGTGTACACGCCCTTTTTGTAACACCAAACAGACAGCTTTCAAAAAAACTATTTTTTTTTTGCCTTTTTCAAAAGAACTGTCTTGTGTACACAGGCAAAATTTTCCTATTTCACTACTATAATTAACAAGGGGTTTTTCCAAAAATATTCCTGAAATGTTCTTTGTGGACAAAAATGTCAATGCTGTTACAATGAATATATATTGCCATGGTAACTATAATGTGAAATTGAACAGGATAATGATGAAGTTTATTGTTATAATTAGTGTGTGTAAAAAGTCAAAACATACTTGTCTACTATCTTCATTTTTACTCATATATTGGTCATTATTTCATTTAACAATTCATATGTTGAGAGAAGAGTAATATAAAAAAGTTTTTGTTCAAGTCAATGAAGATTAAAATGGGTTTTGACTTTTGAAAAGGATAAACTACGAGAAATGAATATATGAGATCCTTTGGAAATGTTCTCTATTTTTTGCATTTGGAGAATTTCAAACAAATACATTTTTACCCAAAAATAAATAAAATGACTAATATATTACTAAAATAAAGATAGTAAAAAGGAACACTTTGATTGCAGTAGTACTCTCGGCCCCAATTTAAGAGCCTCACTTATCTTTTTTGAACGTCTCATCTCAAGGTGACAAAGTTCTCCTTGCTTTTTGTGAAAAATTGAAGGTGTTAAATGATAACTTTTTCATTACTTCTTAACTAATACACCCAGATAACACCACTATCCATCAAGTACTCTACACAATTAATTTTTAACCCACCCAACTATTTACTTTAGTTATTTACCTTTTCTAATCTTCCGCTCTCGAATGTTTTGTGCTCAAACTTTTTTATTTAATTACTTGCCTAAAAAATTGTGTCATTTTGCTAACGAAACCTTGATATGGGTCTCAGAGAGTAACTTTTAATGACCATGACTATGTTCAATTTTGCACTGCAATGATCATCACACTATACCCACTGTAACTTCAGTCAATTTTTGTCCATATATTCTATTTGAGTAATAGTTTAGAAAAATGTTTTTTTTTTTAAAATCTGATGAGCAAGACTAAGTTACGCAACACAAATATGAAATGTTCAGTGAATATTTTTAGTTTTGTGCAGTGGGAGCATTGCGTTCCATCAAGGAAAGTTTGGTTGACCCATATAAGAATCTCAGAAATTGGAAGAAGGGAGATCCATGCACTTCAAATTGGACTGGTATATTATGCTATAATGCAACAAAGAAGGACGGTTATCTTCATGTGCGAGAACTGTATGGTTTAAAATGTGATTTGAACATTTTTTATTCATTTTTCTACCACATAATTCGTGTGGAGATTGAACAACAGATATATTCTTCATAAGTTTTTCAGTTTTCCCGTCCCGCATTTTGTTTTTAGCATTTTATTATTTTATAACTTGTTAAGTATAACTCCGACATTGTTCCCCTGCGCTCTAATAAATGGTGTCAATATTATTGCATCTTCATTGTCTCATGCACCAGACAACTACTGAAAATGAACCTGTCTGGAAGTTTATCACCTGAGCTGGGGCGCTTATCTTATTTGGAGATACTGTAAGTTGAGATATCTCATATGTGCCTTTCTTTGACTCCCTCTGACCCTCTGAATTTGAAAACTTGCTCCAGTAGACTATTGACGAGTTTTAAGATTAAAAATGATAGGGATATAGGATATTGCATATAGGAAGAAGTTAGGTATCAGAAGTTCAAAAATAAGAAAAGGAGAATATTTAGGAACACTTTTGTTATTTGATAAGCTCATATTTACCAAAAAAGGAAACTGGAACAAGTAATAAAATATTTCCTTACAAGGACAGTGCAGCAATCTTCACATACTGAAGGAGTATTAGATAGAAATCATAGAATCATTCGTGTTTCACGCTTTCACTACAATCATTTCTTTGTATATTTTTGTTTCCTTACTCTCCTTGTTGAACTGATATACTCATCTCTATTTGTCCTTATGACAGAGATGTGATGTGGAACACAATTGGCGGGAGTATACCGCACGAGATAGGGAATATTACGTCACTCAAATTATTGTGAGTTGAACTTTCTCATCACCTAATACTTCTTATCATTCATGTTATTTTATAATTTTTTGGACTCTTAACGTTTGTTCCAGGCTTCTGAATGGAAATAATCTGACGGGTTCCTTACCTGAAGAGATTGGCCATCTTCCTAACTTGGATAGGATACAAATTGACCAGAATCATATATCTGGGCCCTTGCCTGCAACTTTCGCAAATTTAAACCGAACAAAACACTTGTAAGGGACCCTGTTCATGTATGGGGCTTAAAATGCAATTAAATATCACCTTGTTAGCACTCTGGAGTTTTGCTTGTAACAAATTACCTTTTACATGTGCTGATATCATTTCTTTATTAATATTTAGATTTTGTTTCTTGACAGCCACATGAATAACAATTCAATTAGTGGACAAATCCCACCTGAGCTTTCTAGACTTCCGATGCTTGTTCACTTGTAAGTTCTCTACCGGGTTCTTTCCTTTTCTTTTGTTGCACAAGTTGATCTCCAAGGATGAAGAACGCTCAAGGACATGGATGAAGAGGAGATTGTTTCTAAATAAAAACCATTATAACAGCCCATTTGATTATTATTTTTTGCTCGATAGCAGCTTAGAAAGACATCTGAGTTACCCCCTCATTTTTTTGAGAACTTTTCGCTAATACCTGGAACTCATTACCTAAGAGTTCCTTGCTTTGTATATTTGCTTTTTGACAGAGTATTCTGTCACATTGACTGTATGCTTCTTGATTATCTTTAATAGAATAAGTTATTGTACAGGTTACTTGATAATAACAACTTATCTGGATACCTACCACCAGAACTAGCTGAAATGCCAAATTTGCGCATAATGTAAGATATCTTTTTTTTCCCTAACTATTTAGGGATTCTTTTTATATTACTCTGGATGGTTATATTTAAAGATCACACATGTATAAAAGGGAAATAACCCAAAATGTTCTCCGTTGCACATGTCTTTGTATTCATGGTAGCATGTAGATTGTTGAATCATATTTTTGTCTTTCTGAAGAGTTATCTCTTTCTCTTCTTGCAGTCAACTAGACAATAATAACTTTGAAGGAAGTCTGATACCTGTTTCCTATGGAAAGATATCTCACCTGTTGAAGCTGTATGTGCCTTGGCTTAGCATATTACCTTTCCAATTGTGGAATGGTTTATTAAGAATAACTTCATTCAAGAGCATTTGGCTTTCCCACCCTTATCTTTCTCAGGAGTCTCAGGAACTGCAGCTTGCAAGGACCAGTACCAGATCTGAGCAACATAGAAAACCTTACATATATGTAAGTTTTGTGCATCATAACTGGATCTGAATGTGAAGATAAGAATGCAATGGATTTGAGTATTTTGGTGAACATAAGGTGTCTGCTCATGTATTTATGAATTCATCATATCTTACAATGATGGTCTCATTAACAAATGTGTAATACTTCTTTCTGAATGTGGCTTTTAATCCCATGAGTAGAAAATGCGTAATGAAATGTTTTTTAATCAAATGCACATGTATGGAGTGCAGAGTGTACACGTTTACACTAAAAATATGTTTTATTTCACTACATTACCAATTTTCTAAGTACCGGCCCCGGCCCAGAGGGAGTTTAGGGTGTGCGACCGCACAGGGCCCAAAAAAATCGAGGGCCCAAAATAAAATTTTTAGTAGTAGTACTATTACTCTACTAATGTAATAATGTATGATGAATTGATGAAATAATGAAATTTAAAAATTTGGTTGTTATTTAGAATTAAATGTAATTAGTTGATGAGTTAATTAGGCTATTTATATTTAATAAATTTATAATTGCTGCAGCTATGTTTTAAGAACATCTGTTTGTCGATCAATATTTATGTCAGAAAGGAAGACCCAAATTTTGTTATTGCACAGAGCCTCCATTTTCTCAGGACCGGCCCTGCTAAGTACTATGAATATAATGATACTTCAGATTATTTTAGACAGACACATGGAGTGCAGAAATACTAAAAGAAAAATATGTCATGAATAGATGTGAAAAATCAAATGGTTCAGAAGGGTTTTGAAGATTCTAAAATTCAATCCCATGGTTTAAAAAAGGAATAGATTCTAGGTGATGCAAATGGGTGGACTAGATCTAATCCATTATCATTAATTTATAATCAATTGATTAGTTTTGCTATCTCCTATTGTTTCGGTCTACCAAACTACACCTGAGTTCATTTCTGTTAAATATATGATTATCACCTTGCAGAGATCTTAGCTTCAACAAGCTTGCAGGGAGCATACCAACACATAAGCTCTCTGACTATATCACAACCATGTAAGCACCTTAACCCTCCACTGGGTATCTCCTAATTATTACTGGATCACCTCAAACTACACTGCTTTTGAACCTACTATTTATTTTCTACATACTGCAGCGATCTATCACACAACAATCTGAGTGGAATTATACCTACAAACTTTTCCAGCCTCCCTAATTTGGAAAGATTGTAAGAAATTCTCATCTTTCATTTCTTGAAATTTTGTGATCTGAAAGTAAAAGGATGTTGATTATTTTATCGTTTCCATTAAGCTTTGTGTGTACGGGAATTTATATTTAATTCTGTCATCTTTTTTTGCAGGTCACTTGAAAACAATGCATTAGCGGGTTCTGTACCATCCAAATTTTGGCAAAATAAGAAACTCAAGGGTACTAAGAAACTCATCTTGTAAGGCCTAAAACTTGAAAACATTTCTTCATCACATTTCCACTTTAAGCTATATTGCCGTGAAGTGAGTTATTTCAGTATCATGGAAATGCTACTATCTGACTACTCTGAAGTCAGTAAAGTGAATATTGTTTTACTATGCTATCATTCTCTTTTGTGTTCTTAAGTCCATGATGTCAATGGAGTGTTTCAAAACTTGAGATCATTTGAATTAATAATATTATTATTGGTTACTGCAGGGATTTTCAGAACAATTTGCTCTCAAATATATCGGGAAGTCTAGTCATACCACCAAATATCACCATCAGGTTAGTGCTTGGGATTGAATCTGGGAATTAGATAAAATCATGTATGGGAGGATGGGAGTTGTGAATTTATCCAATTCCAAGGAACCACTCACATGCGTGCACTGGTCAAAACTGGGAGTTCCCAAATTCCTCCAGGTTTCCTAATCCAAACATGTTCATCTAATACCATTCCTGGAAACCTGAAGCCAATCCAAACAAGGCCACATATTTATGATAAAACTACACGTCAACACGACACACCATTTTTCTACTATTGATTTCCTCTAATTTATTTATTTATTGATTTGAAATTCTTTAGATTCCATGGAAACCCCTTGTGTAGAAACGCAAACACAATTGATGTCTGTGGCTCTGATGATGACAATTTCAATGATAACTTGGACATGAACAACTCCACATCCTGTCCCGTCATGGGTTGCCCCCCTCCCTATGTATATGCCCCGCCTGCTAATAGTTGCTTCTGTGGCCTACCTCTACTAGTGGAGTATAGACTAAAAAGCCCTGGATTTCGAGACTTCCTGCCACACCAGATTGAGTTTGAGGATTACCTGACAACTGGACTTATGCTGAACTTTTCACAGCTAGACATTGATAAATTTACTTGGGAAGAAGGCCCTCGGGTAAAAATGAACTTGAAGCTATTTCCAACCTATATTGACAGCAGTAGTTTACATGAGTTCAATAAGAGTGAACTCTTTCGAATAATGAGTATGTTCACTGGATGGCTGATACCTGATAGTGATCTATTTGGACCATATGAACTTCTTGGTTTCAATCTAGTGGGAAATTATAAAGAAGGTGAAAGTCTCTTTACCATTATCCTCCATGACATCGGGCACTTTATTTTCTTGCCGGTTTCTTGTTTTCTATTAATTAATTATTTTGTGTTTGTTTGGTTTGGTTTTATTAATATAATTAAAAAAAATTCGTTCAGGGTTTTATTAATATAATTACAACTTTATGCCGTATTACACTCCCTCCATCCCTCATAAAGGAGTCGCGTTTCAATTTTTTTTATTTTTTATCTAAAAAAAAGAGTCATTAAACAAAAGAAGTTATTTTTAATTGAATATAATGTATTTTTCCTAAAAAGATATACCAGACAAGTTAAGTATGTAAAAATTGGCTGAAAACGCAGAGATTCCAAAATATAAGTAGAATTTGATAATTTAGAAAAGTTGTACCTTCCAAAGTGAAATGGTTTCACTTAGATGAAACTTGACTATTTTGGATAGTGGTTATAGGTACTACACTATTACCACAATCTATACTTTGCCTGGGGACAAGGAGGCCTTTCATGTGCCATTCTACTTCAAAGCACATGTTAATAGAATGTCCAAGGACTATGCTAATTTGGGAGATTAAGCTTGTGTATATCACCCATTTTGTGGTTTTTGTCCTGTCACAGATATTCCTCTCCATTCACCATTTCCTATAAGCAAAGGATTTCTTGCTGGCATCATAGTAGCAGCAATTGCCTGTGCAGTCGCAATTTCTGCGTGTGTAGCGCTCCTCATTTTGAGGCTACATGTGCAAAAACACGATCCAGTATCTAAGAAGCGTCGAAGTGAGTATCTCAATGCATTCCTCAATTTTCTATAGCTGAAATTATAGAGACAATGTTCTCATGTTTTACTGTTGAGTAGTTGGAGATTTTGCTAGCATGACTCAAGTCCTAATCCACATTTAGCCTTTGTTTGGTGGTTTAGGGAAGTAATAGAGAAGAGGGAAATAAAAGAGAAAAATAATAGAGAAATAGGGTAGATTTTTGTGTGATGTTTGGTAGGAGAGAAATGGGAAGGAAAGAAGGGTTTGTTAGTTTCTTTAAAACAAAGGTACCCCTCTAATATGCTCTGTATAATATAAGAAAAGAATGGGTGAATGGAAAAACAAGATTGTTCCAATTTCCTTCCCCTTTCTTCTTATACGAGGAGAAAAGTATCCCTCCCGTTTCATTGCTTATCAAACAAGAGAAAAGTACGACTCTTTTTCTTTCATCCTCATTTCTCTCTTCCCATTTTCTCTTCAAACCAACAAACTCTCAGGCCTATAGGATTTATTTAGTGCTTGAAATCAAATTACCAAGAATGTGATAAAATCACGTTTGGAGTTTTCATTCAATTTCCAAGAATTTCATAATTCTCTGTCTTCCGAATCCAAATCCATCACACCCATTCTGAAATGTCACCAATCTATTGCTTTCCTAAATTGGCATTAAAAGAGTTTTTAAACTGTTAAAAGTACCTCTTTCCATTTTCCTTCCAAACTTTGTTTAAATCAAAAGTAACTTTCCTTCTTCTAAGAACACTTAATCCTTGAAAATAAGTCTAACCAAACACTCTAACTCTTGCATTCCAAACAATGTTCGTATGTGACTATGTAACTCTTGTGGTATTTTATCTCAATTGAATGCATTGATAATTTATAATGCAATTCATACCAGTTCTGATTACGCCACATCATTTTACAGCTTCTATCTCTGTCAAAATTGATGGTGTGAAAGACTTCACTTATCAAGAAATGGCACTGGCAACAGAAAACTTTCACGATTCGTGCGTAATTGGACAAGGAGGTTATGGCAAAGTATATAAAGGCATTTTGGTTGATGGAACAGATGTAGCCATTAAACGTGCTCTAGAGGGATCTTTGCAGGGCGAGAAGGAATTTCTTACAGAAATCGAACTACTTTCTAGGTTACATCACAGGAACCTGGTTTCTTTGATTGGATACTGTGATGAAGAAGGTGATCAGGTAGCCTCACCACTGCATATCCTTTTGTGTTTGAGACTGTTGTGTTAGTAGACAGTCACTTTCGTAATAGTTGTCCACACATCGCTGCAAAATGAATCATAAGCATGCTAAGGTATAGCTAACTTATGAATCTTACAATGTGATTAAAGCAGTGAAAACCAAATAAATTTTAAAAATGATGGAAAATGCATGGATTGAAAACTTTATTAAAACAATCAATTCATCCATGATCCAATTAAATAAATTTATCCAATTCTCCTATCAATGTTTTTCATGGGTAAATATCTAACTAATCCATGTTATTATTTTTCACTTGTCTAGATGATACATGAGTGCATACATATGCGCAGTTGAGAGTATGTAGTCGAAAATGTGTAATTTTTTACCGTGCAAAATTATTGCCACTTCGACCGGGCACAAAACATAAGAGAGTGGAAATTGTGTAGTTGAGATTTATATATAGGAGAAGGAGATGTTGTGAAACACATATAATTTTGATTAAAAGGAAACTGGAAGGAATTTTAGGACACATGAAAAAGAAATTATGTAGATAATTAGGGACAGAGAGTAATTAATTTGAAAATGTCAATGGTTCCACTCTGATGCATTTAGAACATTTTCTGAATGTGATCCAAGATAATTAAATGTATCTGTAATAATGGATGGTGCAGTAACCATCCATTTACTAGAAATGGATGGATTGAGTCCCATCCATTTTTGTTAGGGTTTTCCCTAGAATATCACTGAAAGTAACATTTATGGACAAACGTGTGATTAATATTGCTTTGACTATAACTTCATGGTCACTATAGTGTAAAGTTGGAATAATTATAGTCACTAAAAGTTACTAATATAGTCATTTTTGTATAAAAGGTCACATTTTTGTCCATCTTTATTTTAGTCACATGTCATTTCTTCTTCTTCTTCTTCTTCTTCTTCTTATTATTATTATTATTATTATTATTTTTGTCATTTGTTATATGTTCAAAAAGTTGGTTTAAGCAGTATGTTTAGGAATAGGCTTAGGCTATGTGGCTAGTAAAAAAATGATGAATATATGATTTTATGCCAAGCATAAACTCTGTGGCTTAATATTTTGCAGTAATTTATTCTTTTATTATCTTTTACATGTAGATGCTTGTGTATGAATACATGTGTAATGGTACTCTCAGAGATCACCTATCTGGTATGTATCCTTTCATGTTTTTTCATTGCCTCATTATGTAAAAAGTACGACTGTGACTTATGTTCTATGGGGATAAGCTGAATGTGTCAGATTTATATACAAAAGACTATACATGAGGTATGTCAACAAGCTGAATGTGTCAGATTATCAAGATTGTTGACCTTAGTGTGAGCTGTTGAAGAACTCGAATGGGTTTGGTACAGGATATTAAATTATTTTTAATGACCGACATAGTTTGGGATAAGATTGACCCGATATAATTGAACAAATTAGAATCACTAATGTGCTCTCAAGATTGGATGGGACCAAATTTTCTGAACGTGTATGAGAAGTGATTCTTGAAACAGCTTTGGGACAGTAAATACTAAATGTTAAGCTCTATTATTTGTAGTGTTAAGTTTTTCTGTGAGTGTACAATCTAATCCAACACCATCATTTTAAGCATCCTCTCATATAATATTCTACTATTGCTAGTTTCTACTATCTCCGACCGTGAAAAATGTATAGATATATGTGAATTTGAAGGGGATGATTTCTGGTTGACTTTTAACTAACATCTTTGGAGCATAATGGGACTTTATGTTCTGTGGTACAATAGGAAAGTTTGATGAGCCCCTCAGCTTTGATCAGCGGTTGAGAGTGGCCCTAGAGTCTGCAAAGGGGATTCTGTATTTGCATGCAGAAGCTGATCCACCTATATTCCATAGAGACATCAAGGCTAGCAACATACTCCTAGACTCAAAACTCACAGCTAAAGTTGCTGATTTCGGACTTTCAAGGCTTGCTCCTGTTCCTGACCGTGAAGGAGTTTTGCTCGACCATGTATCAACCCTTGTTAAGGGTACTCCGGTATTTTAACATTTCCTTATTTTTCCCCACTTTATGCAGTTTTCTTTCCAAAATATGTAAAAATACATTTTTTGGAAGCTGACTTCTCTCTCTCTTTTTTTCTTCTTCCCTTTAGGCTATGTTCAGATCTAGGAACATAGTAGGAAAGAGAAAAAAATGCTAAGAATTTTATTGTATTATGTTTGGATCTAATTTAGGGAATGCAAAGGAAAGTGAAATATGTTTGATATGTGTGTGAGTGTGTGTAATACATAAATATTGCATATGTTTTTTTTACATTACATATGTTTATACGTCTTAGCATTTACATAATACAAACAAATAAATTGGAATCAATTCGAGCGACTATATTTTATAAGCTAATTGAGTTTGAACTGATGTTTTATGTTTCTCAATGTTTTCTTTCATTTGCTATCTCTCCTATATTTTCCACCAGATTTTCTTTTCCTATCACTGTCTGTGTTGCTGTGTTCCACACAGACCCTTGGTAATGTTGGAAAAATGTGTTGAAAATTGCATTAAATGGTAATTCTGGGGCAATTTTTGAGTGGGGTCCACTTCCGATTTGGGTCGGGTCAAAGTGGTTTCGGATTGTCCTTGTTAAGGGCTACAATTCGATATATGGTACGCTCAAAACGGATAACGGGTGAATGAGAAATCGCTTTTCGAAGTTTACCCGTTAGAATGGAAAAACTGGGAAAAAGGATGAGTTTCTAGTGTGTTATTTCCCACACCGGAAAACCCAAGGGATTTGCAACCCTTTATAAAGGGACTCCCCCTTTAAAGAGTTAAGATTCCTTAGGGTAAAGGCTCTGTCCACGCGCGTGGAGGGTGCAAATCAAATCCCGAAATCGGAGAAGAAAAACCGCGACTTGCGTGCGCGGGCGACCTGCGGACACGAATGTCGTCCAAAAATCTATCTCTCAAGGCCTGGGGTCTTCTGCTACGGAGCTCGGACAGAAGGCCTAGGAGTCCTCTTTTGCGAAGCTCGGACATAACACCTTGGGGTGTTCTGTTCTGTCCGTTACAACAATAAATGTCCAACGTTCTTATCTTTTAATGCAGCGTTAAATGGACAGTGCATGCACGATTCAATGTCCAACGGACTGGTCATTGATGTCCAACTTTCAGGTCCATTAATTCACCATTTGCACACAACAAATCCTCCTATATAATGGCTGGCAGGTGGTTTGTAACAACACACGATCTTATGCGTTCTTACACACTAGCTCACGTATTTCTTCAGCTAAAAAACACCTCCAGCTACCTCTAAAAATTCCTGAGTGTTTAGACTTGTTCTCGTTCGCCGGGACAATTCGTTTGAGTGCTCAAACGATTGTTCGCAGTCATCGTATCCTGGGAAACGCTTGTTGCAACGCTCCTAGCACCGTGGGAGGCAACAAATACGTTTTAAGGACATCGTGCGTAGCACGAGCTTTGACTAATTTCTGCTCCATCTTATTTCTGTTTTCTTTCGTCATTTTAATTAATTTATTTTAATTAATTTTCTTTATTTTCCGAAACACACCCAACAAGTAATCGGCTAAACACGTGGTTTATATATTCTTCACACTAACAAGGAAACAAAAGAAACAATGTATATGGTAAATGGAGATGTCATCATTTTAAATAAAAAGAAATGTTTTCTAAGCGCTGAAATGTTATTTAAAGTTTCCCTGCACCGGGTTTATCTCAATGGTCATGTGGTAAAAGAATGTAATTCACTATTGAAATGTTTTCAGGGATACCTTGATCCAGAGTATTTCCTCACTCACAAACTCACTGACAAGAGTGACGTTTACAGTCTTGGTGTTGTGTTTCTTGAGCTATTGACTGGAAGGCCTGCTATTTCACATGGTAAAAACATTGTTAGGGAGGTAGGTTCTATCCCACTTTTGATTTTACGTTTACACTTTTGAACACCAAAAAGAGGCGAAAATCTCCATCTTCTACAATTAGTTGCTTGCAACTACTTATCTACCCCATATTCTAAAAAGTGCTAGGCAGCAGACTGGGCCTTGTGTCTAAGGAGGGCCGGGACCGGGCTTTTTAGAACATTGTATTCACCCCATATTAGACACAAGAATATTCTACTTTTGGGCTCACAGCTGTGGAGGTTGACTTGACTTTCTTTTATTCCATTTGTGGTTATCACTATGGATTCCTTGCAACTTTTGGGGCTTGTGACCATATATCAGGTCAAAAAGTGTACAATTTCTGGTTGGTTTAAGTCTGAGACCTGACCGGAAAGGACTGAAAGTGGAAAGAAAATCAATAGTCGTGCATCGGAAGTCATATAAATGAAAGCCGGAGACTAAAATCAGAATGGCCTAATAGTTTTGGAACGGAAAGTGGAGTATTTTGTAGGAGTGGACATTCGGTTTGATCAAATTACCTAACCAAACTGAATTAACCCGAACTACAACTAAACCACATGTAATTTGGTTTTAGTTGGGTAATAAATTCTGAAACCGTATTGGACCAAACCAAACCGAAAACAGATTTTTAAAAAAACCCCAATAAGCATATGCCAATTCGAAGCCAAACCAAACCAAGGTTGGTATTCTTTCAGATATTATATCCCTGCTCTGGTTTTAATCAAACCAGACTGAACGGAATAAAAAAGCTGCAAGCAGGTTTGCATAGTCCTAATATTTTCTATGGACATGCTTGTCCATCTACCTCTGCAGGTCAACAATGCATACCACGATGGTGTGATATTGGATGTCATTGATGAACGAATGGGATCTTATCCATTAGAATGTGTGGAAGCATTTGTTACGCTTGCCCTAAGGTGTTGCCAAGAGGAGACAGATGCCCGGCCTTCAATGGCCGAAGTCACTCGAGAACTCGATCGTATAAGCCGTATGATGCTGGAGCTGGATAGCGGGACTAAAGAATCTCAGTATATGGGTGCCACAGTCAAGGCCAACAAGAGTACATCTCCGTCATCATCGCCTATGAAACATCCTTTTGCTTCGTCGGATGTCTCTAGTAGTGCCCTTCTCAGTGGAATTCTCCCTTCAATCTCTCCCAGATGATACTTCCTCAAAACTTCTACTGCAAAACAAAAGTTCTCTGTGTTGTACTTTTACTTGTTTGAGGAAGGACATTTTATGTTTTCCTGGGTAAGTATATATTACTCATTGGCGTATAAGTATTTGAGCATTTTGTTGCTTTTGCAAGATTATTGCAAGGACAAAAAGAGGGACTTCCAACTATGATCGAAAAGAAGAAATATTTGTAAATTATCTTGATAGGTAATTAATACCGAAAATGAAAACTTCTGTAAAGAGATAATTTACGTATTGTTTGGAATGTTACCATTTGAGCTATTATTCAGTATACGTATTGCTCACAGCAAATGCATGCGCATGTACATCTTCACGTTGTCACGTGCTTGATTTCTTTAAATAGGCATACTTCACCTTTTAGTGTCTGTTTGTTAAAACTTATTTGCCTGCACGGGTAACTCAGTTGGTTGAGTGGCGGGAAATTTGGAACAATGACTAAGGTTCAAAACCCGCAGCGCCCGTGTGGAAGTTACAACTCCTGCGTGTTGGGCTGGACCTCTGATGCGCACGGGTATAAGATTTACCACCATTGGGTCGACTGAGTAACCGTGACTTACTCCTTCACTATCCCGTCGGGTCGGGATGTGGCCTGTGGGGGCACCTCAAGTGGGAGATTCCACCTTTTGGAACAATGATAAAACTTATTTGTAACTTTTGAAAGGAAAGATGATTGAAAAGAAAAATGAAGCCATTATAGCTACGGAGCGAGCTACCGATTAGAGACTTGGTATCATAGTTAGTTAAATATGGTATGAGAATTAAATGAGATTTAATACGTGCGTGTTTTATTCAGTAACATGAATGAATAAAACGATAAAAAATTCGTTGAAAAAAACGTTGACTTTCAAAAAACGTGTAAATACGTATACGTGTATAATATGTTATCTGTTACAAAAATTCGAACAAAAAATACGGGGTATTATTTTAAACATTTACTTTATATACTTCACAAAATAACATATATAGTAAAAAGAAATATAAATACACATATTCAAGTAGAAAAGCTCATTACTACATAAAAGAATAATTTATAGATGCTTAAGTCGATGACAAAAATAAAAATAGTAATCAAGTCCAAGACATAAATCTACAAAATTATGTTAAAAATAAGGCATAATATCAATAGAATGAGACTTAAGTTAAAATCATCAAATAACACTCAAGTTAAACTCATCATTCTCATCAAGATGACGGATGACATATGAGAATATTTATGCGACTGCTACGCTTATTATTGTTTATGTGTAAATGTTTATACTAAAAAAATGTGAGGTTTAGAAAAACCTTAATTTTGATATGCTTGTTAGGAAAAACATCAGCATACTAGTAGTATTTTAAGTTTTTGTCTTTTAGTATGTTAGCTTTAGCTGTCATGCAATTAATTTCAGTATTTAATAATTGTATTATGACAATACAAAAACACGGGATCACGGGGAGGACATTTTCATTTTTAGTTTTAAACTATTGTTGATCTCTTATACATTTAATACATTCATTTAGTTGGTCAATTCATGTTTATGTTTTTGTAATATACGAGAGAAATACGTTTTATACGGGAAATTGGAGTTTTTTTTCTTTTTAAATGGACCGACATTATTTTTCGTTTTAAACGCGTTTTTTAGTAAAAAAAAATAAAAACGGTACGTGTTTAAAATGCATTTGAAACGCAAAAAGAAAAAAACTAACTAGGCTTGGTATATATTTGAGGGTGGCCACGGTTTTGGTCTTGGGATCAGTCCGGCCTCGAACCGCCTGGTGTTTTAACCGGGTTTTAGATTGGCCATTTCGTTCCTGGTTAGAACCATAACCGGGGTGGGCGGTTTTTGTTACCAAGTCTTGGATGTGTTCCGGTTCTGGTCCCCAACAATTAATTTCGCATTTTGTCTCCTTTGGATTTTTTCCTTTGGGAAGCAAGCATCATACAAATAGAAGTCAATCTACATTGTATCTCAAATTTGTTTTATAAGATAATGCTATTGCGGTAGTAGCATCACTAAAGAACGTTGGAAAACTTTAGTTGCAATTATTCCTAAAACTGTAATTCATAAAATTGAACAAAAATGCTCTAGATTTTTATGGTACAATTTTGAAAACAGACACATATGGAGGAATTGGAATAAGATCACTTACCCGGTTAAGGAAAATGGGCTGGGCTTCAGGGATCTTTTCACTATTCAAAAATGTTTTTATCTTAAATGTATGTGGAAGGCTGCCCATAAAATTGGGTTTTGGGGGCTTTGGTACTCTACCCTTAATAATCCCACCAAATCTTACATTTGGAAAGGTTTGACTACTGTGAAGCATATTTTTGATAATAGGGAAAACTGTCAAATAGATCCTCATACTATTCTAAAAAAGTTAATTAAGTCATCCTACTTTGAAAACACTCAATCAAATCCTCATACTATTAAAAAATGTTCAGTTATGCCATTTTGCTGGTAACTAACCGGTTCTCCCGGTTACTTTCACAGTGGTGGCCTACGTGGAAATTTACGTGACAATTAAATTCATTTAATCTTTCCTTTTTTTTTTTTTTTTTTTTTTCATTTTGTCTTTTATTGTATTCTATTCTCCATTCTTGTACGATAGAATCATATCCATATGCGGCTATGCCCAACTACTTCACCGGCTCACCGCCATCGTGTTCTCTGCAACGAGCTGGCTGAAGCCCGTTAGCCACCAGCACACCCTTGACGCCGGCCACCAGCACACCCCTGACGGCAATTCCGATTTTTTCTTTCTCTCCCATTTTCTTCCTCTGGATCTGTTCTTTCTCTTTCATTTTCTTTCGCATAACAGACAAAAGCAGAGATTGGAATTGGATTTTTAGGCAGATTGACAACAATATATGTGTGTATGTATAAATTATATGAGGAATGTTCATGTCAGGCCAGCCTGACGGGCTGCTCCGTCCGGCCAAGCCCGTTTGGGCACCTTCCAGGTGGAATTTTTTGATGAATTTTTTTTAGCATGTTTCCCATCAAGTCTAGTTTGTCCATACCAAATTTCAGCCCAAAATTCGATCGGGAAGCCATTCAAATCATTTTTTGAAGTTGACTGTAGTTTTATATGTATATTTTGACGCAGTCAACTTCAAAAAATGATTTGAATGCCTTCCCGATCGAATTTTGAGCTGAAATTTGGTATGGACAAACTAGACTTGATGGGGAACATGTTCAAAACAATTCATCAAAAAATTCCACTGGGAAGGTGCCCAAATGGGCTCGGCCGGACGGAGCATCCCGTCAGGCCGGCCTGATGAGAAGAGCACTCTAAATTATATTATTGTATATATAGTAGGAAAAATTGACAAGAATAATCCCACCTTTCACTGATCTTCTCATAATAATCCCACCTTTAAATAATCTCCAAATAATCCCACCTTTGTACCTCATCTTCTTTTATTGGACCCTGACCAAGTTTTTTACCTTTTTTAAAAATCTTATATAAATAATCTCACATTTATAAGGATATAATTAAAAAGTGAAAGGTGAGATTATTTGTATAATTTTCAAAGAAAGAGTAAAAAACATGGTCAGAGTCCAATGAAAGAAGATGAGGTGCAAAGGTGAGATTATTTTGGGATTATTTAAAGGTGGGATTATTATGAGAAGACCAGTGAAAGGTGGGATTATTCTTGTCAATTTTTCCTATATAGTATATGCATGGGTGAAGGAAGGAGGAAGAGCGGCAGTGCACCTATGATTTGCTAAAATTAATTTTGCTCACAAGATTATGCACCTTCCGTTCTAGCTTGACTCACCAGAGATCGATTCATATTTATACTCAAGAAAATTTCTAATTCTCACGCTCAACTACTGTCAATTGACCTTGTATATTTCTCTGGCAAACCCACGCCTTATTTTCCAACTAGAGAGCTCTAGAATATTTCTGTAACAAAAGATTTAGAAATTCGATTCTTATCGACTCATATAAAAGATTACTGCTATGTTTTTGTAAGTGTTGTTTCAGTACTTGAAAATTTGAAATAAGAAAAAGATAAACGTAAGAGGAACAGGAGAAGTCGAGAAGCACAGAGACGTCAGTAGAGAGAGGCATATGGCGAAGGGAAGAGGGAGAGATGAAAAAATTGACAGGGTGGCAACCCTGTTAATGCCACATAGCCAACCACATCAGCTATTACCGGCATTACCTATGCTTAACCGGCTAAAATGCAAAATTGGATGTTTTTGTAGAGTTGAAGGGCTTAATTGGATGATTTTAAAGTACAAGGACTCAATTGACTTATTGCATATAGTACGAGGACTTATTTGACAGTTTTCCCTTGATAATATAACTTCTCTTGTGGTCTGTAACGGACAAAGTTCTTTCTGGGAATCCAACTGGTCGGAATGCGGTAGGCTCATGGATTATGTGCATAATGAGGAGGTGACATCATTACATAACTATCAGGGAGGCTTATTCTCACCCTTCTTTCTTTTCTGAGGTTCCGAATCTTATACCTGATTATATTCTTATATTAATTTACCGCATATCACTACCAAAAAAGTTTGCTATAGGCACGGAATTTTGGCTCGGAAAAATGCCCAACCAGGTTTGGCTCGGAATTTGGCTCTGAAACGTTGAAACGCGGTACTGTGACGGATTTGGCTCAAAAAAGCCCTGCCAAAATGTAGATTCTATTATTCCGTGACAAATTCCGAGCCAATACTGATAAATTATAAATGAAGTTGGCCGGAGAAGTATTCCGTGCCAAAAACCGTCGCAATTTGCGTCGGAACGTCTTCCGTGCCATAATCGAAAAACAATTGTATTTTGGTTTGGCTCGGAATGGTCCTAGCCAAAGTGTAATGAGCCAAAATCTGAGCCAATTGTTGAGTCAAAAAATAGCCGTTGCTTATCCGCGCTAAAACCGAGCCATAATCCGTGCCAAAAACTAGTCATCTGCTTATTTAGTTTTTTTTTTTTCGAGCCAAATGTGGACCCAAAAATAGCCGTTATATTTTCGAGCCAAACCTGTTCCAAATTCCATGCCAAAATATAGCCGTTTGATTTATTTATTTTTTTCCCGAGTCAAATAATCCGTCAAAAATAGCTGTTAAATTTCCGAGCCATTTCCGAGACAATTCCGTGCCAATATCATCTATATATACACCTAGCTTTTGTAAAATAAACTACACCTTACAAAATTTCATACTTTAATGTGTCTTGCTCGAGGACTATTTTCATTGATGAATTCTCGATGGAAGATGAAAACTATATTGTTGCTATTGGCTATGTGATCATTTTGTACTTAATTTGAATTTCTTATTATTGGTATCGCTGTTTTATCAGGTATGCAATTTTCTTTATTAGTGTTTTTAAATTAATTTCATCTGTATCATTGATTTATCATTATGTTTATCTTAATGACATCAATGATATGTTAGTGATATATTTTAATAAAACCTTTACTAGTGTACACAACTAAAATTCCATTTCCAAATGTAGCCGTTGATTTCCGAGACATTTTCCGTCTCAAAAGTATCCGTTATTTACGGAAATTTTGAAATTCTGTGCCAAAAACCTTGCCAAACAATTCTATAAATAGAACACATCTTATTATGTATTCATTCATTACAATGACTTGAAGGTTTACTAGTTAACTGTACTTTCTTATTTAATAAATAAATAATTTCTTAATTTTTTAAATATTCAGGCACAATGAATAGAGAAAATAGAAATTGGATGGATAATAAACATGTTGGCAATGGTAGAGGATTGACAGACGAGTTTAAGAATGGAGTTATTGAATTTGTTAAGTGGGCACAACAACAAACATGGTACATGGATGGAAATAAGATAAGATGTCTGTGTAAGGACTGTAAAAATAACAAATTCTTGCTTGGTGAGGTCGTGTGTTGGGATTTATATACTAATGGTTTTATCGAAAACTATTACAATTGGACTTCTCAAGGAGAACCGATCGAGACATGTTATTTGCCTCAACCTGTGGGAACATCTTACTATGTTCTTGACGAGATGGCTGCGTGGGGAAATTATGCAGATATAGAATGGGAGCAAAGAATGATTTATGATTTGGTTGATTCTTCTGCATTTCCCAATACCCATCCGGACACCTATCCGAATAATGATTTCACCGCACACAGTAATGCGGGCGAGGGACCAAGTTCATATTTTTATGATGTTGATGCGTTAGGCACGCGATTTCAAGATGTTCTTAGAAGTACGGATCAACCACTGTATTCTTATTGTGATGGTCATTCGCAGCCATTGTTCTAAAAATCGGCCTAGGCGGACCGATTAATCGGCCTAGGCGGCCTAGGCGGCCCTCACTGTAGAGGCCTAGTCGGCCTAGTCGGTCAAAAAATCGGCCTAGTCGGCCAAAAAATCGGCCTAGTCAGCCGCCTAGGCGCTAGGCGCTCCTCAACCGCCCGACTAGCGCCTAGCGAGTTTTAGAACAATGTTCGCAGCTATCTGCGGTTTCTGAATTTTTGAATATAAAGTCCGAATATAATCTGTCTGAGAATTGCATGTCCAGAATACTTGACTCAGTTAGTAGCATGTTACCACGTGATCATTCTCTTCTCGACACGTATTACAACATGAAAAAAATCGTCTCTGAATTGGGTCTTCCTATGATTAAAATCCATGCATGCCCCGGAGGATGCATGTTATTTTGGAAAAATGACGAGGGATTTACCTGTTGTAAATTTTGTAATGAGGATAGGTACAAGCCTATGTCAGCAATGAGCCACAAATCACGAAAAAGATCTGCAGTATCCAAATTGATATATTTTCCTTTAGCACCACGTTTACAAAGATTGTTGTGTCAAGTGCTACCGCTAAATACATGATGTGGCATGTCGAGCATGACACAGAAGAAGGATTAATGTGTCACCCATCTGATTCGGATGCATGGAAGCATTTGGACCGATATTATCCTGAATTCGCTTTCGAACCACGCAACGTTCGTCTTGGGTTGTGTGCTGATGGTTTTGCCCCGTATGGTCAATTTGGCGGTCAGTTCTCATGTTGGCCAATTATCATCACACCGTATAATCTGCCTCCGGACATGTGTATGAAACAACAATTTATGTTTTTATCGTGGATGTGTCCGGGACCTGGTAATCCTAAGAAACGAATTGATGTGTATCTACAACCATTGATTGAGGAGTTGAAACAACTATGGGATGTAGGTGTTCCTACATATGATGTTTCGACAGAGCAGATAATATTTAATTTGAGAGCTGCGGTTTTATGGACAATTAGTGATTTCCCAGCATATGGAATGCTATCTGGTTGGAGTACCGCAGGCCTTATGGGGTGTCTTGTTTGAATGGAGAAGTCAAATGCATTTTGGCTCAAAAATAGCCGCAAAGCATCTTATTTTGATTGTCACCACAAGTTTCTCCCTCAAAATCATCCATACAGAAAGGATAAAAAGTCTTTCCGGAAGGGGCACGTTGAGCGTGATCCTCCACCTCCGAGGTTGACAGGATATCAAATTTATCATCGTGTTCAGCACATTCCTTCTGCCATAGATGAACCTCTTGAGTGTCCGGATGGATATAGGACTGATCATAAAATGGACCAAAAAAAGTATTTTTTGGGAATTACCGTACTGGAAAGATCTACTCATTAGACACAATTTGGATGTAATGCATATTGAGAAAAATGTTTTTGATAACATTTTCAACACAATCATGAACTTCAAAGGGAAAACCAAACATGGTCTATCATCCCGAAAAGATGTAGCTTTGTATTGTGATAGGCTGAAAATAGCTATGGGACCGGAATATGAAGGCCCCTACAAGAAAGCTGTTTACCAAGTGACGGTTGAACAAAAGTAAAA